CCATCCAATCAAACATCGGGATCGGTGGAGCCGACCCTCCGGCAGGCTACTCGCTGCTGTTCGGTCTATTCTCATAGATGCCGAACAGCAGTGAGTGAATAGCCGAATGCCGCTGAGTGGCATTCGGCTCCGCTGTTCTGCTCGGGACCGAGCAGAACAGAAAAAGAGTTAAAAAAGTTAAAAAAGTAAATAGCAAACGATTGTGCGGAGCTAGCAGTGACAGCGCAATAGCTTCCTATTGTCCGGCGGCTCTGCTGCTGTCCAAAAAAAAAGAAAAAAAACCTCTCCCAGGCGCTTCGCTCGACCAGCTTCGGCTTTCAGCACGGCTCAGCCGAGCCAATGCATATGCGTTCGGCTCGACTGAGCCGCTCGGCCACGTTCGGGAGCTGCACCCCTTCGGATCTGCTGCACCAAAGGGGTCCAGGGGCCGAAGCTAGCCGAAGGATCGGCCGAAGCTACGGCTAGATCCTTCGGCAGCTTCGTGAATAGACCCCACAGACTGAACTTCAAACATATCTACCTTTGTTCATTTTATTTACCTTTTAGCTTATGGGATTAGTGGTTTACAAAAGAAATACCTTTTTTGCAGTATTTTCATGGCACATGAAGTGATAAGGGCACTGCATTTCTGGTAAGATCAACAGGTATTTTTTGTACTTAATAAAATGTTCCTGGCCTGAAAAAAAATGAATGCAGCTAACCAATCTAAGGCTTGGTAAACCACAATATATATTAAATCTTTGTTTTTGTGTTTAGATACATTTTTATAGTGTAGCATTGTGTACAGTAGGTGTCTGACAATAAAAATTACACAGGAATGTAATGTTATAAACACTGATATGCTGTATACATTTATTTCCATATTAATATATGGTAGGGTTGCTTTGTATACATTGATTAAAGGTAAGCTAGATTTGTTCCATTGCCTGTTTTAATGATTTCTTTCACAATCTGATTGTTTAAATCAATAGTTAATTTTTTTGTGCTGATTTTTTTTATAAATCCTTCCCTGTTCATCAAGGAAAGTGTAACTTTGCAAATAGCATGTCACCAATTTTCAGAATTCTGTGACCTTTGTGATCTTACGTAACAAGGACACAAGTTTTGTATGCTACCTTTTTATACATAACGTTTATGTTTACCTTTAAAAAGCACATTAAACATTAGGCCCCATTCACACCTATGCGTATTGTAATATGCGCGTCTGTCGCGCGACCGTCACGCGTTTTTTTTTACCGCGATTCGCGGTAAAAAAGTCGCGCGACCGTCGCGCGATTCCAAAGGCTACTTGGCAGTATACAAATGGAAAACGCCCTACAAAACGGACCAATACGCAGCAAAAAACGCTCCGGGACCTTTTCATGCGTGGGCCGTTTTGTAGTGCGTTCGGGACGGGCGGAAATACGGACAGGTGGGAACGATACCATTGACTACAATGCTATTTATTTTTTTGACCGTTTTGTAGAGCGTTCATCGAGCGTAGGACGCGCTACAAAACGGTCAGGTGTGAATGGGGCCTTAGTAAAGAACTATATTGCAGGAAAAATTCTGGTTAAAATGGTAAACAAGCATGTTGACTCTAAGCAACAACAGTTTGACCAGGTTCATTAACCCTTTCGCTGCCTAGCCCTGTGTTCTGCTTTTTACTCAGCTGGCCAATTTTTCACCTTTTTATTTATTTTCAACTTCTGCTTTTACATTTCTTGGAAGCACAGGACCGGTAGAATAAAAAAGATGGTGCTAATAATTTTGTAGGTCCTGCAAAAATTTTGCAAATTTTTATCAAATATATTTTAAACCGATAAAAATACAGAATTCGATAAAAGCACAATTAAATCATTATCATTGCACACAAAAAACACATTTCCATCTAAATCTAAAAGATAAAACTGTACTGAGCTAATAAATAACAAATATTTGTAAATTTTAAATTGCACTTTTTTGTGAAACGCTAAAAAATGAAAAAACAAAAAACTGTAAATAAGCAACTTATGCTAAAAATGTGTGTTGTGGTAAAAATATGCAGCCATACA